TGGTTGTTCTTTTTTTAGACCTAGCCATTTAAAGTTTAGGAAGTTTTAAATTTAGCTGCTTTTATATAAAAATAAAAATAAAATAAAATAAAATAATATTTGTGCAGCTTTCTGAGATTTAGTGTGTTTCTGTAGTGTTTCACTCTAACTACACAAACACACAAAATCTCACAAAGCTGTATGTGGAATTTTGTGTGTGTGAAGTGTGAAAGTTGGTTTTTTGGGCTTTCTGTGGCTGTGTGAGGTTCCTGCTTGTTGCAGGGGCCATTTTGGGTCTAGCACAGCTGCTTTTACATTGTGGGTGAGTCAGTTATGTTGTGTTTTGTAGATTAAAAAAGGGCAAAGAAGTGACATTGACTTGGCCATGCCCACCTGACCAACAAGCCACGCCCTCCCAGTCACCTTACCACCAAGCCTCACCCACTAATTAAGCCACACCCACAGAACCGGTAGCAAAAAAATTTAGATTTCACCCCTGGGGTGAAGTCCACGGTAGACAGTTTGAGGTTGAAGATGTGAGGGTTTGAGATTGTAACAACGGAGTCAGGTAGAGCATTCCAGGTGTTGACTACTCTGCTGCTAAAGTTGTATTTTCTGCAATCGAGTTTGGAGTGGTTTACCTTGAGTTTGTATCAATTGTTTGCCGGTGTGGTTGAAGCTGAAGAAGTCATTGACTGGTAAGATATTGTAGCAGATAATTTTGCATACTATGCTTAGATCAGATCGCAGATGGCGCAGTTCCAGATTGTCCAAGCCCAGAATTTCAAGTCTGGTGGCATATGGGATTCTATTGTGAGTAGAGGAGTGGAGTACTCTTCTCGTGAAACACCTCTGGACCTGCTCAATCGCCTTAATGTCCAATATACAGTGTGGATTCCAGGTGAATGAGCTGTATTCAAGAATTGGTCTGGCAAACCAATTGTATGTCAATACAGTTAACAGTACAATGTTACTGGAGAAGAAGCTTCGCAAGATTAGGTTAACAATTCTTAATGCCTTTTTGGCAATGCTGTTACACTGAACTCTGGGGCTTAGATCGTTTGAGATGAGTACTCCTAGGTCCTTGACAGAATGAGAGTCTTCTACGAGATCGTTTCCACCCAACTTGAATTTGTTGTTCTGATTTTTTTATGCCAATGTGCAGGACAAAGCATTTATTAGTTGAGATTTGGAATTGGCAAATGCACAACCATTCTGACACATAGTAGTCAGAAGGGCAGCAGCATTGTCAGTGGTGTTAAATAATTTTATGTCATGAGCGAAGAAAACACAGCTGCTTTTAATATAATCACATAGGTCGGTGATGGCGAACCTATGGCATGCGTGACAGAAGTGGCACACAGAGCCATCTCTCCAGGCATGCCAGCCATCACCAGTTGCTCTTCCGGGTTCCGGCGCACACATGCACACTGGCCAGCTGGACTTCATGTGCGCATGCGTGCCAGAAACTGGGCGACCATGTAACCGGCATGCATACACTTGCCGGAAAATGGAAGGTCAGTTTCCCGGCACACACATATGCACCAGGGAGCTGCTCTTCTGGTTTCTGGTGCTCCCATGCATGCGCACCAGGGAGCTGCTCTTCCGGCTTCTGGGGCTTCTCCCTGCACGCGCATGAGCGCTCCCATTTCAGCACTCGGTGCCGAAAAGGTTCGCCAACACTGACATAGGTCATTGATGTAAAGCAGAGAGTGTGTGGGACCAAAAACGCTGTCTTGGGGGACACCGCTGTTAACAGGTGCCAGATTTCATTGGGCCCACCCTATTTTGACTATTTGTTGCCTGTTGGACAGGAACGTGGCTATCCACTTGTGCAGGGATCTGGAGATGCCGTAAGAACTTAATTTCAACAGTAGTTTGTCGTGCACCACTGAGTCAAAGTCTTTACAGTAATCTATGTAAATTGCACCTATTGCTTTAGCTTGGTCAAGATGTGTGGTCCAGATGTTTCTACAGTGTAGGAGTTGCAGATTACAGGACACATTTTTTCTAAAACCAAACTGCTTGTTAGATAGCAGGTTGTTTGTGTCTAAGTGGAGGGTGATGGATTGGTTTATAATTGATACCATAACTTTACAGTTGACACCATACAGTGAGATTGGTCTGCAATTTTCTACTAGACTAGGGTCTCCCTTTTTAAAGATAGGTATAACCATGGATAATGACCATAGATCAGGCAATGAGCTGGTTCTGAAGGATACCTCATAGATTGTGCGTAGAGGTTCAGCTAGGGCACTGGCAAGCTTTTTCAAAAAGTAGGCACATAATCCATCACGACCAGTAGATAGAGATGGCTTTAGGTTACGTAGTGCCATTTCAATGTTATCTACTGTAAAATCAATATGTACTAAATAGTTACAATTTGTTATGGTACAACTAGGAAATGGGAGGCAGCAGCCATTGCTGTCGACAAAGACTGAACTGAAGAACGTATTGAAGAGGTTGGCCTTAGCTGCTTCATCGTTACAGTCTTCCCCGTTAGGCCCTTTTAGGGGTGGAATAGTTTTCCAGTCTTTAAATCTGGCATTTACGAAATTATAAACGGCTCGGGAGAAGTTTGAGTTTAGCAGCTCTTCCTCCTGTCTGCAATGGTGATTGGTACATTCAGCCTTTATCTGGCGGCATAAGGCTTTGTAGCAGTTTTTAAAGTTGGCTACATAGCTAGTTTTCTTTTCTCGCCTAAGAGATTTTTTCTTGGATTGTAACTTTCTTATTGTTATGGGTAATTTGTTTTTTTCTTGGCTTTGGGGGCTATTTTAGGTATGTATAGATTAATGACTTGATTGACTTCAAGAAATAAGGTGTTATAATGGTCTTCTGCAGTTATGCAACCTGTGAACAGAAGGTGCCAATCAAGAGATCAAGGTCGGCAGCTATAAGATCATAGTTGGCTTTTTTAAAGTTATAATTTGGAGTCCCATCATTATGACCCTCTTTGCAAGGACACAAATTGAGACAAAATCAATCATGCTGTGATCACTGTTGGAAAAAGGTTCTTTAACTTGTAGGCCATTAAATTGAGTTTTAGCTATTGCAGAAGATGAGATTTAAGCAATTGTTGAGCCTAGTGTTGTTTGTTACCAACTGTTCCAGCCCCAGAGTCATAACAACATTGTACAGGGTTGCATGTAGAGGTTCAGTTGTACATTCGTTTAAGATCCAATTAATAAGCAACAAATTGAGATCACCAAGAAAGATAAGAGGGCAGGAAGCTACCCATGTTAGTAGTGCAGTTAGCTTGTTTGTATGACCAAGGTCGTAATTGGGGGCTCTAAAACATAGTAATAAACGAACTGTGGTTTTTAGGGACAGTTCGCAGACAATAGTCTCAGGAAGAGCAAGCTCTTGTGTAACATATATCTTTTTCAGACCTAGAAACTTTTTATAGAAGATAGCAACACCACCCGCTCTACGATTATCATGGTCAGACCAGAAAACGTGATATTCACTTACTGTAATAATGGAGTCTGGAAAGGATACATTCAACCACGTCTCACAGACAAAAATAAGGTTAATCGGGTCGCACTTAGAAGTAGGAGGAACTCGGGCATTTTGTTTGCGAGGCTTCTTGCATTAAGTAGTTTGCATTTTAGGCCGGTAGGGGTGGACCTGGAGGAAGTTGGGGCGTGCATGCCTAGTTTTGATTGATGGGGGGGCAGTTGTTGGGACACGGGCCACTGATCTTGCATTTGATACAGTCAGCGCGGTAGTCTATGTACAGGTCAGTCTCTCCTTGGTACTGGTGCCTTTGAGCTCCGAGTGGAGCTCACGGGCGCTTTGCAGTATGGACAGGTTGGGCCACGAACAAAGTTTCCTATGGTTTGTGCAGCTTTTGGCGAGTGAGTTTATTGTGAAAATGGATTTGCGTTTGCTGCTTTCGCTCTTGCAAACGACTCTGCAGAAGCGTGGGGCCACCGAGCCATCACTGTTCTTGAACTCGGAGCCGTCGCAGGAAACATCGATGATTTCATCGGAAGCAATGGTTGATGCCTGGAAGTTGTTGATGATGTCACGAACCTTTGTGATGTCGTCAGATTTGTTGGTGTCATCCAGTCCAAATAAGATAGCGTTGGGACACTGCTGTTCGCGTCTTTGACAAGGACTTTTGCCTGGGAGCTGCCTCTGCTTCTCCAGAAGTTTCTGCTCGAATCCTCCATCCTGTCTCATCCTATTGCTCTCTTCTCACCCTTTCCGTATGTGTGTATGTTTCCGTGCCTTCTTCACATGACTTCCCTCTGAAATCTGTCTCGGCTTCAGTCTGCCTTTTAATCCTGCTCTTCTGCCTATCCACCACCCACCTGGCTCCCTCTATTTTCCCGGTGGGAAAAGGTTTTCCTTTCCTTTTGCCTCAGTCAGAGTCTGGGTCCTTTGAATCAGCTGCATAGGTTTACTCCTGTCGTCCCCTCCCCAAGTCCCAGGAAGGTGGGTGCCTTTCGCTTCTCCTCCAACCCCAGTTTTTAACTTCCCCATCTCTCCTGCATTGGAAGTTGAATGAAAACCAGATGTGTTTCAGAAAACAGAGATTCATCATAACTGGTTCACCAAACTCAACAAAAAATTAGTTACTGGTTCTGCTAAACCCGTGCGAACTGGCTGAATCCCACCACTGATATAAATGGGTTATAAAAATTAGGCTGAATTATTTCCTCAAAGACACTGACTATGGCTATATATTTGATTCTTACTCAAAATTCCAATGTGCCCATAGGATCAATATTGAATGTAACTCAATGTGTTCTAAAAAATTCAACATATTTTAAAAGTATGCAAAATAGATTATTCAAAGCTAAATAGTAAAATTAATCCCACCCAACAAAGTAGACATATGTTGAAAATTATAACAAAACAGGACATTTGGAGAAGTTGGAATTTCACAGAACCAGATGATTCTTGTAAGATTTTATTATTTTTATTTAATGGTGGAGGAAATTCCTGGACTCTCACACAAGACTATGAATTGTATTCAGTCCCTGAAATAGTTGCCGATTTTATGAACTCACCTATACAATTTCTGGCGTTCTTCCAATTCCTTACGTCTGTGATGCTTAAGGATTTGAGTTTTTTCATCATCAAAAAGCTTGGCTGCAGAAGTAATGCAATGATAATTTAAAAATATGAAATATACAAATGCTTTATTTTTATTTAATGTATTTTAAAATCTTTACAATAAAAAAGATTGCTGGCAGTTTATATTCTTGCTGGCAGTTTATAGGAAATTATTAGTTTTCCTCCCTGTAAAATTGATAGAGGGGCCACTTTCAATGACTCTCAGCTCCCCATGGTCTGTTCAATATTCCTCAGTATTATTTAGTTATTTATTTCTACCCTGCCTTTATTATTTTTAATAATAACTCAAGGCAGAGAACATTATCCATCCTAATTCTCAAGCATTCTAATTTCTGAAGGTAATGCTATACTGATCAGGACCATTGCAGGATCTTTTTCTATATTAATTAAAATTTCAACTAAAGCATATCATCAAGTCTTTCCAATATCTGAGTTTGACATATCTAAAATAATGCTCTTGGGCATTACTGCTAAGTGTCCTCCAAACTCTCAGTATTTGTCAATGTCTTGTTCCTGTGCAATCTAGAATAACATTAACTTTTTTATATGGCCAAGTATTTCCTTCCTAATCATCATTTTCATGGTGTTCGTTTTTTTTTTATTTATTATTATTATTATTATTATTATTATTATTATTATTATTTTATTTCTATACCGCCCTTCTCCCGAAGGACTCAGGGCGGTGTACAGCCTATTAAAAGCACAAAGACAGACATCAATTAAAAATAATTAAAATTATTAAATAGTTTCGGCTCAAATTTAAAACCCCAAAAATTTAAAACACCTAATTTAAAATCATTACATTGATAGCCCGGCCTGGCGGAACAGCAGGGTCTTGAGGGCACAGCAAAACACACGGAGGTCGGAGATCTTACGCATTTCTGGGGCAGTTCATTCCACAGGGCAGGGGCTCCCACAGAGAAGGCCCTCCCCCTGGGTGTCGCCAGCCGACAAAACTTGGCCGATGACACCCTGAGGAGACCCTCTGTGGGAGCGGACTAGCCGGTGGGAGGCTATTGGTGACAGAAGACGGTCTCAAAGGTACCCAGGTCCAATGCCATGGAGCGCTTTAAAGATGGTGACCAGCACCTTGAATCGCACCCGGAAGACCACTGGGAGCCAGTGCAGCTCGCGCAGGAGGGGTGTCACATGGGCACAACGGATTGCGCCCATAACCACCCGCGCGGCCACATTCTGGACCAGTTGGAGCCTCCGAGTGCTCTTCAAGGGGAGCCCCATGTAGAGAGCATTACAGTAGTCCAGCCGGGAGGTGACAAGGGCATGAGTGACCGTGCACAAGGCATCCCAGTCCAGAAAGGGCTGCAACTGGCGAATCAGGCAAACCTGATAAAAAGCCCCCCTGGCCACGGCCGTCATATTCTCTTTTAAAGACAGCCGTGCGTCCAGGAGGACATCCAGATTGCGAGCCCTCTCTGTGGGGGGCAGAGATTCACCTCCAATAGTCAGCGATGGCACCAGCTGACTATATCGGGACGCCGGAAGCCACAGCCACTCGGTCTTGGAAGGGTTGAGTCTGAGCCTATTTCTCCCCATCCAGACCCGCATGGCCTCCAGGCAGCGAGACATCACATCAAGGGCATCGTTGGGGTGATCTGGAGTGGAGATGTACAGCTGAGTGTCATCAGAGTACTGATGGACTCTCACCCCAAAACCACAGATGATCTCACCCAGTGGCTTCACATAAACAGAAGGGGCGAGAGAACCGACCCTTGTGGCACTCCCCATGCGAGGCGCCTCGAGGTCGACCTCTGCCCCCCTGCCAACACAAATTGCGAATGGTCAGAGAGGAAGGAGGAGAACCACCGCAGGACGGTGCCCCCTATTCCTAACCCCCTCAATCGCTGCAGCATGATACCATGGTCAATGGTATCAAAAGCCGCTGAGAGATCTAACAGGACCAGGACAGAGGAGCAACCCCTGTCCCAAGCCCTCCAGAGATCATCCACCAACACGACCAATGCCGTTTCTATGCTGTACCCCTGCCTGAAGCCCGACTGGTACAGGTCCAGCTAGATAGCTTCATCCAGGTGCCGGGGAAGCTGTCGTGCCACCACACTCTCAACAACCTTCGCCACAAAACGAAGGTTGGAGACCAGACGATAGTTAGCTAATTCAGCTGGATCCAGGGAAGACTTCTTGAGGAGGGGCCTCACTACCGCCTCTTTCAAGGCGGCGGGAACAGCACCCTCACTCAAAGAAGCACTTATAATCCCCTGGAGCCAGCCTCGTGTGACCTCCCAGGAGGCCAGTACCAGGAGGGACACGGGTCCAATAAACACGTGGCGGCACTAATCTTACCCAGAACCCTGTCCACATCCTCGGGAGCCACGGGATCAAACTCCTCCCAGATAATACTCTCAAGACCTACCCTTGTCTCCTCCCCTGGACTCATCCAGTCGGAGTCCAAGCCTTCCCAAATCCGAGCGACTTTATCATGCAGGAATTGCACAAAATCCTCAGCTCGACCCTGCAAGGGATCTTCCCGCACTCCCCCCCAAAGAAGGGAGTGGGTCACCCTAAACAGAGCGGCTGGGCGGTTCTCTGCAGATGCGATAAGAGCAGAAAAATAGTTAGATTTCGCCGCTTTTATCGCCACTAGGTAGGTCTTGATATAAGACCTCACCAGTGTCCGGTCAGAATCGGATTGACTAGTCTTCCAGATGCTCTCTAGGCACCTTTTCCGACGCTTCATCTCTCTCAGCTCCTCAGAGAACCAAGGAGCCAATTGAGATCGGCATCGGGTCAGAGGCCGCAAAGGCACGACGCGGTCCAAAGCTCCAGTGGCCGCACTCTCCCAGGCGGCCACCAGGTCTTTGGTCGAGTCATGTACCAGGGTTTCAGGAAACGGCCCAAGCTCCATCAGGAACCTTTCGGGGTCCATCAGGCACCTGGGACGGAACCATCTGGTTGGTTCCGTCTCCCTGCGGTGGGGGGAAGCGGCTGAAAGTCCAAGTGAAGGAGGGAATGATCTGTCCATGACAAGGGTTTAATGTCTAGGTCCCCTCTACCAAGATCATTCAACCACTGACCAGAGACGAAAATCAAGTCCAGAGTGTGTCCCCCTATGTGAGTGGGGCCTTGAACTAACTGGGTCAGGTCCATGGCCACCATGGAAGCCATGAACTCCCGAGCCACCTCTGACGCCTCACCTGCAGATGGTAGGTTGAAATCCCCCATGACAATAAGTCTGGGGGTATCAACCGCCACCCTGGCAATAACGTCAAGCAGCTCGGGCAGGGTCGCCGCCACGTGGCAGGGAGCCAGGTACGTAGTCAGCAAACCCATCTGCACCCCACGGCCCCACTTTACAAAAAGGGATTCACATCCGGCTATCTGAGGAACAGTGGTCTCCCTCGGACAAAGACTTTCCCTAATAATCGCCGCCACTCCCCTACCCCTCCCCTGAGCCCTTGGCTGATGAAATGCACGGAAACCTGGTGGGCACATTTCAACGAGGAGGATCCCGCCTCCTGGCCCAACCAGGTCTCCATAATACCTGCCAGGTCCGCATCCCCCTCCAAGATAAGATCACAAATGAGGGGGGCTTTATTAACAACCGACCTGGCATTACATAACATCAGCCGCGGACCCAGGGCCTGAGGCTCTGTGCAACCCCGGACACGAGTCGTGCATTGGGGGCCGGAATGCACAATCGCTCATAAACAGCATGTGCGCACCCCCGGAACGTGATATGGCCCCCTGCGCCCGTCATATCTGCCCCTCCCACTAATAATTTTTCCTAAATTCAAGAAGGGGAGAAATTATAAATTATTCAACATGATATTGGTTTTTGTACTTTACCAATTTGCAAAATGTTTGGAGCTTAATTTCTTAATTTTTCTTTTAATTTTTGATTGAAATATCCAGAAAATATCTTTCCTGTTTCTTTTTCTATTTCTTCCCTTTGAGGAATATTATTTCAACGTTCTTTGTTGCCTGTATTTTCTTATCTATCTTTGTTAAGTTACATAGAACAACAGTGTATCAGATTACTGACAAGAAAATACGGCTGACATCTGAAAAAAAATCATTTGGTAACATGAAAGCTTGTTTAAAAAGTTTGATGAAATGATAATGGCTGCAGAAAATATTCAGATGCATATCACTCTAGATAAATTAAATTTACAAAAGGAATGTGATCTGAAAGCAGCAGATTTGCTGGAAGGAAATATGGACTTTACAGACGTAGAATTGAGTCAATTGCAACATCTCCCTGAGGTTCAAGTGCATTCTTTTACAACAGCAGAAACCTGATTGAGTGGAGTGGCAAAATAATAAATTGGTTTTCCCTAAGAGGGTTGAAGAAGATTGGGGAATGAATTTGATATTCAACGGAAAACAATTTCATCTGGACTTTTTTGGAGAAAATCGAGAGACTTTGGAGATTGGATTTGTTATATTTAACCAGGAAACAATTGATTAGAGATAGTATTAAGAAACAAATGTAGATATTTGATCCAGGACAAATCACTGTTAATTCTTGGGACAATTTGGCATAGAAAAGATACCATAGTAAATTTTCTACAAGTTGATTACAATAACAGTTTGTTAACAGAGGGTTTTCAAACCTTAATCTTGTCTCTTTCTATTATTATTTTTCTAACTATTAACTATTTTGTCATTAATATATAGATGACAGGTTAATATTTTGCAAATAGATTTAGTAGTTTAAAAATTTGGATGGCCGGTTTCGCAAGACATAGGAAACTAATATTGTTGTAGTATATTAATCAGTATCCAACTGGGGGGGGGGATAATATGTAAATATGTGTTAGGGCTTTTTTAATGTACTTTTAATGTCTTGTTTGTTCTGTGTTTTTTCTTTGTCTTTTTTTTTAAAAAATAACTTTTTTTGAATAAAATAAAAATAGAACTGCAAAAAAAGGGAGATAATAGAAAAGATTCCATGGATGGAAATCTTAGTTCAGGATGCTTGGCAAGCCCTGGAAAACAAGATAATAAATGCCCAAACAAGAGCTATACCACAGAGAAAGAAAAAGAAGAGGTTCCCGAAACCAGCATGGTTATGTAAAGAGCTGTCTGACAGACTGAGGGACAAAAAGGACAAGGATAAAAAATGGAAAGTGGGGCACATATAACTAGAACAGAATACCAGCATTTAATCCAAATCTGCAAGGACAGAGTCACGAAGGCTAAGGCTCAGAATGAATTAAGATTTGTAACAAATACCAAAAATAACCAAAAAAAGTTTATATCAATATATAATGAAGAAGAAAAAAATCAAGGAAATGACAGAAGATGACAGGTAGCAGGGAAAAAGCAGAACTGCTTAATTCCTTCTTTTCATCTATCTTTAAGCAAAAGTGGGGGGGAACCTAATCTATCAAAAGCAGCACCAAGGGTTAGGGTTAGAGCAGAAATGAAAGTCACAGTAGGCAAGGAGTTGGTAGGAGAAAACCTATCCACCTTGGACAAGTTCAAATTATCAGGACCAAATGGTTCACATTTCAGGGTTCTGAAGGAGCTGGCAGATATGATCTCAGAACCACCTTGCAGAGCTTCTGGAACTGCCAAAAAAGTGGGAAAGAACTAATATGGTTCTGATTTTCGAAAAGGGAGAAAAGAGGATCCAGGAAACTACAGACTAATCAGCTTGACATCAATATCTGGGAAAATCCTGGGAAAGATAATCAAGCAGCGAATTTGTGCGCATCTAGAAATGAACAAGGTGATTACTAGAAGCCCACATAGGTTTGTTAAAAGCAGATCATGCCATACATACCTTATTGCCTTTTTTAATAGGGTGACTAAATTTGTGGTCAAGGACATGCTGTGCATGTAGAATACTTAGACTTTAGTAAGGCATTTGACAAAATACATCACAGCCTACTTCTTGGTAAGATAGAATAATGTGGGATAGACACTACCACTACGAGATGGATTCACAATTGGCTGACCAACTGCACATGTATAATCTCAAAGATTTCATTTTCACCAGACCACAATAATCTTCCTGATTGATATATATTAGAGGAGTTAAAAGGGAAGTATCTTTGATCAAAACTATATTTCTACTCTTCCAAATTTGAAACATTGTTTTAATAAAAATGTTTTTAATCTGTTTTATACTAGAAAAAATAATTTGGATGAAAAAACATTGATTTATGAAATGTATAAACTTATTTGACTCCAACACAGTATAAAATTCCTCTGTGAGGGAGGGTCCACAATGTAATAAAAATGCATACATATTATTTAGCCAAATAATTTTCTATACATCTAGCAAAATTGTTATTATTCTACATTTTAAAAATTTCATCTTTGGTATCCTAATTCATTCCTGAATTCAACTGGATAACATTCAAAACAGACTTAAAAGTTTAATTTAAACTTAAGTGTTTTTAACATATAAATTTGTATTTATATAATTATGATGTGGTGTACTATCATTAAAATCCTACTCCATATGCACTTTCTACACGTGCAGCTTCACTGTCAGGTATTTTACCCCTTTTCTATCTATTATACAGAAAGATAGAGGGAAACAGAAGTTCAATATTCTTGTTAAGAAGGTAAATACTATGCAAACAGCTATGACAGCAGAAAGGGGAATATATTGAAAGGCAGGTTTTGAAACAGGAAAATGAGCTTTAGAAAAGGGGAAGAGATAGATGAAAAGCTGCAGTGTTTCCAAATTAAGTGTAGGAGGGGAAGTTAGAATACTCAGAAAAAGAGTTGCTAGCAATTCTGAGCTGAATGAAGAACTTCATAGCAACATTTTATGTCAGATAGTGGAAGTTACTGACTTATTTAGTGTTACAATTTGTAACAAATAAGTTTTCACATACTATTGGGAAAAGGCTGAGAGACAGCTGCAGTGCATTAGGTGCAGGAGCAAATTTTGCAACGGTTGATCAGTGTTAGAAGCAAAGGTAGAAGAGGGACAGAGAGGAGGGATTGGTTATGTCACTGCAATGACATAAAAGCAACCTGGAATTAAGGAGAAACTTCCTAACAGTTAGAACAAATAACTAGTGGAACAGATTGCCTTCAGAAATTGTGGAGATTTTTAAGAAGCGACTGAACTCACTTGTCTGAAATGGTATAGTGTCCCCTGTTTGACCGGGGGATGAACTAGAAGAGGTCTCTTCCAGCTCTATTCTATTCTAAAAAGCAGTTGCAGAAAAGGGAGATCCTCTGCTCAGAGGCTGAAAATCCTAATTGGATTTTAGCAGGAAGGATTTTCATCTCCTGAGTGGAGAGAAATTTGCACATGGCCTGTGCCAGGCCTTCCAGGGCTACCTCATCCTCTGGCACCTCACACTGCTTACCTTACCATGTCCCAAAGTCTTCTGCACCCCATGAGGCTGTGCTCCTTATTTGGGATATAGTTTTAATATACTATTAATATTTCCTCCTTTTTACTGTTTCAAACCCTTTTAAGCACTGTATCATTCAGCTATGTTAATCATGGAACTTATTTCATAGCAGCTACAGAATATTATTTCTATTAATCATCACAGCGTACTGAAAAGCACTTTTTTGCCTTCAAGTCTTCAAGAGTCAATGACTAATGGCCAATGCAACCTTTATGAAGTCTCCTGGAAATGGGCCATAACTGGAAAAAATGTTTGGCAGGTGCATAATCAGTTTCAATTGGGAAATTCAAAAAGAGGAAGATGGCAAAATCCCAGAATTGTATATGCAGTCATGGACTCAAAAGCAGAATGCAAATAGAGAAGTAGGAAATCGGGCTATAGAGTTTCAAAAACAGAGACCAAGTGGTACCACTGAAACCACAGATGTTTCTATGTTGGTGCACAAGATATAAGAAAAAAAATCCAGTAAAAACTAGAGACCCTAACTTGAGAAAACAAGACTCATGTGACACTTAATTGAAACATGGTGAATGATATTCATTATTCCAACATTAACAGAAGCACAAAATTCTGCTCTGCTTCATTCCATCCTGGTCAGACCCCATTTGAAGTACTGTTTTCAGTTCTGAGTACCATAGTTCAGGATGATAAGCTGAAGTGAATTACAGAATTACAGAATAACAGTGGTGGGAGGGACGGACCTTGGGAGTGTATTCTAGTCCAAACCCTGCTCAAGCAGAGGCCCGGCCTATACTATTCTGGACAAAAGATTAAGTTAAATTAAGAATTAAGTTAAAAATTAAAAGGATACGAAAAGGATGAGCAGAGTAAAAACCAAGTCTGAAGAGGAACAATTAGAAGATTACAGAGGTTTTACAAAGAGACAGAGAAGGGGAGATATTATAGCAGTGTTCAAATATCTAAAGTTGTCTCATTGAACAGGAATGCACTTACCTTGACCATCTCGGAAAACCACCTCTTTTTCATCTGTAATCCACCTGTAACATGGAAACTCCAGGTAATCACCAACTGGTGTTTTCACAGTGATATATTTAAGGTACCAATCATCAGGAAACCAGTACTTCCGCTTTTCAATTTTTATCAGTTGGATTTCCCCCAAGTCCTCTGTCACTGTAACTTCATAAGTATCAGTCTGGGAAGGGGGGGAAAAAGACTGTGATCTGCTGGACAACCTAAATGCAGCCACCTGCAAATACTGGTAATTTAACTTCACATTTTCAGGAGTGTTCATTTCAAATTAACAAAACTTTGACAATGTGCTTTTAGTAGACTTTATCACCATTGCCCTTGCTGTATTGTGAAACATGTCCAAAACAACTGATTGTGAATCATGTCTAAAACAAGTCAGTTCATGTCTGTTTCCATCATGACAACAGAACTGTATTTCCCAACTAGGGCAATATTCAGGTGTGTAAGACTACAGCTCTCAGCTCTCAGAATTTCCCTAGCTAGCATAGCCATTGAAGTTGAAACTCTACCTCTGAAGTTTCCCAGTTTGGGAAAAGCTGCAGTAGACCAATCCTAACATGTTTCTGGCCTTATGCATGCCACAGAACACACAATGGATTTGGTATTCTGTTCAACTACTGCTGAGAATCTATAGGCAGGAATACTCTGTGTAATTCCATTGTAACTGATGTTTCAAAGTTTATACTATCCAGATTGCTAATGTTAACCTCTTTTCTTGTTGTATATGTGTGGCCTGAACAAACCTTTCGGCATATTTTGATTTAATACTGTCTTTTAGTCAATTGTTTTTGTCTGCATGTATTTTTATAACTAACCAGACATTATCAATTTAATTTTGTATATTTGAATACTAATTATCTTGTGTTGGTTAATGACTATAATAACGTTATCTCTCTCTGTAACTGATATATAACTTCTTAGTCTTAAATTGGAAGCTGGTATAGTCTTTTGCCCTGGTACAGGATTGATTGAAGGTGTTAGACCCAGGCATCTGATAGATCTAGTTGGTGTCCTATAATATACCTGGCAATTTGCTCACCTTGCTTGTGATATTACTAAAACTCTCACTTATTTATGGAATATTCCTTGAAATTACATCATGCTGATTGTTGTTTTTTCATTGTTCACTGGTAAAGGGAAATATCTGACTTAACTGAGATGGGGAAGTAGAATATTTTACAACAGAAAGTATTTTTATAACAGGAACAGAAACAGGACTTCGACTAAAAAAGCATGCATATTGAATTTATGTGTATCACATTAGCTGTAAAAGAATAGCCAATACAATCATTTTGCAAGAAAAAAATATATGACAGGGCTCTTTATCTTAAAAACTGTAGGACTATAGCATATATCACGTATGATCAGAATCTTACATTAACTTGATTTTCACAGGGATAGATCAACCCCACTCCTGTCTCATGTATGCACCTGGTAAAGAAGCCTATATGACCGTGTTGGCGAACCTATGGCACGCGTGCCGGAAGTGGCACGCAGAGCCATTTCTCCAGGCATGTGGAGCCATCACCCATTGTTCTTCTGGGTTCCGGTACGCTGGCCATCTGGTTTTCATGCACACGGGCATGCCGGAAATTGGAAGAGCAGCTGCCCATTGCACATGCGCACTCCAGGAAAACGATCTTCCTGTTTCCAGAGTGCACACCGGCCAGCTGGTCTGGTTTCTGCCACACATGCGCACGCAAAGACCAGCAACTGGCGCGTGTGCCAAAAGACGCAGAGGGAATCCTGGTGGTCACTTTCTAAGGGAGCAGAGCAAGGTAAGCCAGGGATTCCCTCCCTGCCTGCCTGCGCGAGCTATTTGCATGGTCCCAGGCGGTCCAGATCACTGGTGGACCAGCAGCTGATGAGGGTGGGGTGGTGGTGGGCTGCCTGCTCAGATGACCCCATGGCCGCCATCAAAGCGGGCCGAGACGCCCCTCTTGGCTCACTTCACCAGCTGCACGGATCGTTTGGGATGTGTTCTTCCTGTGCAGCTGCACCGCCCCAGAAGAGCAGCAGCAGCGGTTGCAGCTGCAGGGAGAAGAGCGACCAGCCGGCTCAGGTGCATGGGGCAGCATTTGCTGTCAGGGCAGGCAGCTGCCCAGCCCGTGGCTCCTTCCCTGTCGTATGGCCAGAGAGCCTGGCTCAGCTGGTGGCACAGCAGTGGGGGTTGGGTGGAGCTGCGCACTACCTGTGGTTAGGCCCATCGCTCAACCCCTACGCCTGCTGCCACCCTAAAACATTGTTGCCCCGATCTCTGCTGCCTGGAGATCTTCGCTGCCTTCCCAATTCCAAAAATGGGGTGTGGAGAGGCAAAACAAGAATATCACAGTTTCAGCCGCCGCCTGAAATGCAATGCACTTATCCCGTGGCTTGCATAAACCACTCCTGCCCCTTTCAAAATAGCCACCCAGCGCTTCCTTCAGGCGCTCAGGGCCAGCAAGAGGCTCTTCTTCTGAGAAGGGGGGTGGAGAGGCAGATGCACTTGCAGAGACAGGCTTTGGCTGCTCCTTCTGCTGCAACCCCGAACCCTTGCTTGGGCTCCTCCCTGCTGGGTGCTGGGCTTCCCGGGAAGCCCCCTGCGCCTTTGCTGCCTTGGCTGGAGCCTGATTCCAGAAGCGGCCCGGGGAAGTGTGGAGGTTGGGACTCGGTTGGCAAAGTGGGCGCTGCGCAGGGGGCATAAGGCAAGGCGCTGCCACCCGAAAACACTGTTGCCATGATCTTGGCAAGTGTTTATGGGTGGCAGATCTAGCCAAGAGACAAGAGAAAGTGAGTCTGAGGAGAAGGAGGAGAAGGGCGGGCAGCTCTGGAATGTGCATTACCAGGGAGGAAAGCATTTTCGGGCAACAGCGAGGAGGAGCCCAAGCAAGGGTTCAGGGTCGCAGCAGAATGAGCAGCCAAAGCCCGTCTCCACCGGCATGCCTGCCTCTCCCCCCCTTCTCAGAAGAAGAGCTGCTTGCTGGCCCTGAGCGCTCGAGGGAAGCGCCGGGTGGCTATTTTGAAAGGGGTGGGAGCAGTTTATGCAAGCCGCAGGATAAGTGCATTGCATTTCAGGCAGCGGCTGGTCCCAGCCCATGCTGCCACCTGAAAATTCTTTCTTCCCTGGAAATGCATATTCCAGAGCCGCCCGCCCTTCTCCTCCTTCTCCGCAGACTCACTTTCTCTTTCCTCTTGAAAGAGGAAAGATCTGCCACCTGAAAACGCTTGCCAAGATCATAGCAACAGTGTTTTCGGGTGGCAGCGCCTTGCCTTACACCTCCTGCGGAGCACCCGCTTCGCCAACCGAGTCCCAACCTCCTCACTTCCCTGGGCCACTTCTGGAATCAGGCTCCAACCGAGGCAGTAAAGGCACAGGTGGCTTCCCGGGAAGCCCAGTACCCAGCAGGGAGGAGCCCAGGCAAGGGTTCAGGGTCGCAGCAGAACGAGCAGCCAAAGCCTGTCTCCGCCGGCGTGCCTGCCTCTCCCCCCATTTCTCGGAAGAAGAACTGCTTGCCGGCCCTTGGCGCCTGAGAGAAGCGCCAGGTGGATATTTTGAAAGGCTTGGGAGCAGTTTATGCAAGCCCGAGCCTCCTCGATCGGGGCGCCTCCCTGGGAATTATTGCCCGGCCTGGCCCGGGTGTTTGGAAAAACAGTACACTGTTGGAAGGGGAAGGGAAGAGGAGGAGGAGGAGGGGCATCACTCAGAGGCCAGCTGGCAGATAAAAGCTGCCGTAGTTCTTTCGGGTGAGCCGTCCTCATGCGGCTCTCAGGTCCCTGCCCAAACTGGCCTAGAAGTGGCATGTCACCTCACACCCACAAGTGAGGCAGCGGCTGCTCTCGCCAGTAACTGAGCTCACAAATTGGCATGGTGGGCTCCATTACCAGTGAGAGCAGCCGCCACCTTGCTCGCCCCTTCTCATCCAAACTTCCGGGTGTTGCTCCGGTTCTTTCCGCCATAGCCGCGCAGCCTTTTCTTCCAATTCTACCTATGCCTTGGCACTCGCAGCCGCAGCAGCCCAGCACTGCAGTTCCCCTCCCTCCAACCAGTAGCCTCTGCTCGCGTCACGGAGCTGATGGCTGGGTGGAAGGAGGACAAGCACCGGCACAAGGTGACGCGCCGCTTTCAGACCAGTCCGGCTGGCGGGTAGGTGAGCAGGCAGCCCTCAGGGAAGAGCCCTGCACTGGGTGACACATCTCCCGGTCGCGGGCTGCATGTGGGGCCCGAGGTGGAGGGGTGAGCTTCCCCAGCCGGCGCATGGCACTGCCGAGGTGGCGGGGCCGAGAGTGCTGCCACCGGCTTGGGAACAGCTGTCTCGCCAGTTACGGGCTGGTAACTGGTTGTCCTCCGGTAAGAGGTGCGCCGGCCCTCTTGGAAAAAGTGGGGGTGCATGTGTGGTGGGCGCACACATGTGCAGTGCGGGTTGCATGTGTGCATGCACAGTGTGAGGTGCATGCGCATTAGGAGCATGGTGGGGAGTCATGCGCACATGCGCAAATGGGGGCACCCATTGCATTATGAGTGCTGGCACGCAAGAGCGCACAAGGGCTCGCACGCTTGGACTTTTGGCACGCAACGCCAAAAAGGTTCATCATTGCTGCTATATGACGTTTGCATAATATTTAGATATTTATAGTAAATATGAAAATTAAGGACCATTACAATTTAAATATATTTCACAAATATAAGGAAAAACAAGGCAAGTGTGACTAATAAGAGGCTTAATTTGCACATGTGTGACAGACTAATGACTTCACTATCACCTGTGAAATTAGGAACACAATTGAAACTACGCAGGCTCAAAATCAAGGAATAAAAATCCAATTTTGTGGGATTGGGGGAATAGGAGGATCTGCTTGCAGCTGTTTAAAACTTTCATATTTCTATATTTGAGATTAAGCATAGACTATGCAAAGAAACTAGAAAGAGATTGTATACATTTTGCTCCTCTACATCACAATAAACAATTGCTCCTAGTCCCTCTTTTTATATAAAATGTTACTATTTTTCAATTCCTCCATTCTGTTTTTTTCCTTTTCTTGTCTCCTCATAATTTTTGCCAAAAACTCTAGCAGAATTTAGTACCCTTTCAGTTCTAGGATTAAAATATGAACAATGTGCCTCTAATTCTTTCCTTCAATATTGAAGAAGTTCACATAAACAGAAGAACCTTTTCATATTTAATTGCAGGCCAGGGTTCATTCAAAAATGCAAACCCTATGTGATTAAATACTGAAAATAAAATAAAATCACCTATGGATTTTTTGCTTTAATTTTTATTTGCACGCATGTCAGTTTATCGGATGGTGAGATTTGAAAGGCAGAAAAGACCACAGTGAAAATTAGAAAAGAAAGGTAGTTTTTTAAAAAAACAGTGTCCATTAATTGGGGTGGGGAGGGAGTTCTCAGAATGATGCAAGCAGTGTTGTAGCATTGTAGCCTATAGACACTGCTGACATAAACAGCATATCTTTGATATTCATCTTCATAGTGTTAGAAAAAGTTTTTCTGTTAGAAAAAGTTACTGAGATTTTCCAAACTCCTTGGCAACTTGTATCAATTTGCCTTCAACGATGCTCATGTAGATAAGATATTTAATGATTACATTTTGTAATTCAGGATATAAATCTATGCTGCACAATTTTCATATATAATTATTTAGATTCACGATGGAATAGAAAATTTATACCAGAATGTCAACAGGATTCCATACAATATTTGGTATATAAATCCTCTTAAGCCAGACATTCAACCACAGATTTAAATTACTTCAGTGAAAGAAAAAGTTATAATAATGGAGCAAATATATCATACGTGTAAGAGAGACTAAACACACAGTGAGATGAAATAAATTATAAAGAAACATGAAGGCAGTATTAATTGGTAGGGTGGATATGCATCTTTCCAATGAGGCCATGGCAGGTAGAGGCCTCATGAGTTGACCTCAGAGTTGAGGCCATGGCAGGTAGGGTGACAATGCAAGGCAGACAGAACCACAAACATACATGATGGGGGCAGGATTTTCATGAGAAAAAAAGTGATTTTTGTCTTTTCCATCCCAAAATGAAAAGTGAATTGCTATAGCAATCAGGGGGCTACCAAAAGGGGACTTGAGTAATTAATACATATCCTGGAAATACCAAACACAAAATAATAAACTAAAAAGTACAACTCTTCCAGTGCTTTCAGCAGTGTTTTGAGCAATTGAAATCCCATGTTGCACTGTATTTGAGACGTTGGCAATATTACTAATGCAATGCAAAATTAAATATCAAAATAACTGTTTCCCAAGTAATTATACTAATGTGGGTAATGCGGGTCCAGCTAAATGATCACTGAAGGGCCCTCTTTATTCATAGTATTGTAGGAAAGAAAATGTGCCTGTTTGAGAGGAGCAATTAACTATCTCCAGTTGAAAGGCAGATAATTTCTTTGAAGTAGAAACATTCAGAAAAGAGGGGCCCCTCAGTTGTCAGAGATAGAGACATTTGGTGATATACAGTTTGAAGGTTAAAACAGATCAAAGGATGACCACATGTAATATCAACAAGAGATAATTTGAATCTATGCTTCAGTGATTTACAAGAAGAATTATGACTCTTTGGCAAAGATAATGTAAAACTTAGTAATTAGGAAATGTCAATTAAATATAACAAATGTATATGACCACATAAATTGCTGTGTTAGCAGAATCCTTTGTTTGAAACTGTATAAAACTGGAATCTCATGTTCATAACTTTGCTCATATCTTGAGCAAAGTTATCTTTATTATTGCAATAATAAACTGACTCTGTCTGCCCCAAAGGGATGTCTCTTAATTCCTTCCTTCCATAACAATACCAGATACATTGTACATTTAGCTCCTAACTATAATCAATAATTTGTTTACTTTTTATATATTTATATAACTACGTTTTCTTTATATTATCTAATAGAATGTTATATTAGCAATATCTAATTATGTATGTAGCCCTCAACTTACAACAGTTCATTTAGTGATTGTTCGCAGTTTCAATGGCACTGAAAACAGTGATTTACGACAGTTTTTCCACATTTATGACCAGTGCAGCATTCCCATGATCACATGATCAAAATTTAGATGCTTGGCAACTGATTCATGTTTGCCTTCATTCATGATTCATATTCATGACAGAAGCCATTTTCACTTAACAACCATGGTACAATCTTAACAACTGCAGTGATTCACTTAACAACTATGGCAAGAAAGGTTGTAAGCTATCTTGCTTAGCAACAGAAAGTTTGGGGTTCAAATGTGGTCGTAAGTCAAGGACTACTTGTATAGGCACTGTATTTACAATAAAAATGCCTACATATTTCCCTTGTTGGAGGAAAAAGCCAACCACATAGAATTGATAGTGAGTTATATATACACTCAGTTGTGAATCTAGAGAGTAGAATCCTGTCTATTAAACAGCCCAAAGGATAAGCAAGAATAAGCATTTAGAAACAGTAAATGTTTCAATCTATAATAATCTCTTGTTCATTTCTTTCTAGAATGTCAGTCACAGTTGAGGCTAAAGAGACAAAAATAGAAATTAGGTCTAAACCTCTCTGCCACTGTAACAACCATAGAAGACACAGAAAAGTATGACTAACTGCTCCTTGCAAAAACAATTTCCTTTTTTTAATTGCTCCCCCCCCCCAACGCCTTAGCAAGTATATGGGGAAAGACTAAGCAAAGGATGGCAGCAAAGAGTATCTGCCATTATTTAATTTTGTTTAAAAATTTGAACAAAATTGTTTTTAAAAATTTCCCTTTTGAATTTTCATCCCCTTTGGGCCTAATTAGAGCTCTTAGAATAAGAAACAAAAGCCCGGATATTCTTAGAGGAACCCCTGCTTAACTGCCTCACCTCCCCAATTTGTTGCATAATGCTACAAAAGAAGTTACCAAGTACTTCTTACAAATACCATTTTGCGCACCTTCACAATCCTGATACAGCAAACCAGATATTTCTGATTAACTACACTGGAAAAAGTATGAATACTGATTTCTCCCCTCTAGATAGTGCATTACTGTATAGTCATTTTCGCCCTATGCGGTCCAGAAAAACAAACGGTTACAAGCAAATGGAGGCAGGATACTTTCCTGTAAAATAGCTCTCATATTGATCATGCAACAGAAAATTATTAAGCAGCTGCATTTCTGCGTCATAATACAGGAGGTATATTATATTTTCCGCTTTCCATGAGAAGGCAAATTAGCATTCAAAATTGTTGCTTGCTGAATAGGCAAAGATGAATTGTACTGTGGCAGAATGCAAACATCCCTCGATAACTTAGAAGAAGGGATGTAAGAGTGCAAATGGAAAGCCAATATCGATGAGGAACTATTGAGGGACAAGGAAAGAAAGGACTTTTTGTCGCTGTAAAACTTAACCTCAAATAATTTGGGTTTAGAGAGAAGCGATCGTACATAACTCGAGTGATATTCCACAGCCCGCCCACCACCTCACTCACAGCACCGCGCTCGAAGTCATTATAGAAGGGCTTGTCAAGCAGATGTCTCTCGCTCGTGCCGGCTAAGCCCACCAAGGTAAGGTAGATATAGTCGTCCGTCCCTGCGAACCACTGATTTCCCGTCGCCACTGTCACTAAGTAGGATGGCATGACTAGAGCTCAGTAGTAGTACTCCACTTTGCAAATAAATTCACAATTTATGGAAGGATGGTGGTAATTCTATGGGCGGAACAAATTGGCAGTCACAACCAGCCATCTCGCTTTTCCCGCCCAGAAGGGGAGGGGAAGTAATGGTTGTCAAGGCGTAAAGCGCGTATATTTTCATTTCTGAAATGAAATCGCGAAGTCTGATTAGGGTACCTCTAAATGATATTTATTTTGACAGTATAGTAGAAAACGTATACCATGGAACAGATGGAATTTGCAGCAAAATACAATATCGTTGTCTAAACGTTTCTGCCTGCCTAAATCATGCTTAAGTAGTAGGGAGCTAAATCAATTTAATCTTCGTTAAATCTTCGTATTGTATCCTTGATATCCCCTTTTCAACTTTTTCTACTTGACCTAAACATTATGTGGCTTTACCAGTTTTTCAGTTGTAAAAATAACCAAAGATGGTAATATTTTCTTTTATCTGTAATCAAGTTTTCGCTAAAAATATCACTTGCTGTTTTTAATTTTTATTACAGTTTTAGAGCCTGAAAACTGCTTTTGTTTGCTATTAGGCAAAGTTACTTTAAAATAACTGAGGCAACCAATTCTTAATTAACTTTGCAGGAAGACAACAGAAGCAAATTAAATCAATACTTGCAAATCAAATCGTATTTTAAATAGCTTTTAACTGTAGACAACTCTTCCATGGTGAATGTGACTACAGTATCTAAAAGTACCTAAAAGTTCAAACTGAATAAAGACTAAATATTATAGTCATAGACCAGCTTATAAACAGAAAGAAAACGAAGTGTGAGATTGCAAATACCACAGCAAAAGTATTCTATAAAAATAGCGTGGTCAAGATGTGTGATATTTACCATAATTTAGCCACATTAAGAGAAATAAACTACACTAATCATAATTAATAGCAACCGTAAATAAAATGAATCCAATGGCTCTGGAAATTTGAGTGCTATAGATGAGGTATTACTAAATGCAACTGGACATTTTTGTAGTAGTGGCAATATGAAAGAACATGAGATAGTATTTCAGAGATTCCTCCACTATTAGAACAGTGTTGTTGTTTTTTCAAATTGAATGCCCTACTGTTTCTCCTTAAATAAATTAATATTGGAAAAGATGGCTGTTTAATCAACTGGTAGGTCACAATGTCATACAAATACACTCATTATTGTGGCTTATATTGCAAAGAATCTGACTTCATAAATACATGAAAAATATAATAGATGTTGTCTTTAATGTCTGATGAGTACTGTACTGCTTGTTTTTATTTTAAAGCAAGGCAACAGCCTGAATGCATGAACCTATATATAATTATGAAATATATTCATTATATAAAACAATGTTTTGAAAATTAAGTCAGATGTATTTTCCATTATTCCAAATTCTTAAATAAAGCCAGTTTCAGAAACAAATTAAATACCAACATAAAAGTACAGTCAAATTTTGCCTGATCTATCCTGGTAGTAAACTAACATATAAATCTCTTTTGTATTTCTCTTTTGCAAATCTAGACATGGCAAAAACCTTAACTGGTGGAAAGATGTAGAGCAGGGGTGTCAAACTCACAGCCTGCGGGCTGGCTGTGTCACGTACTGGCTACACCCACCCCTGGTTTAGCAAAGAGAAAAAAATAGCAATAGCACTTAGTCTTATATACCGCTTCACAGTGCTTTTACAGCCTTCTCTAAGCGGTTTACAGCCAGCATATTGCCCCCCACAATTTGGGTCCTTATTTTGCTCACCTTGGAAGGATGGAAGGCTGATTCAACCTTGAGCCTGGTAGGATTTGAACTGCTAAATTGCAGGCAGCCAGCAAGCAGCAGTAGTCTGCAGTACTGCACTCTAACCACTGCGCCTCCGAGGCTCTGGCAAGTCGCAATACATCATGTGATGACATGAGTTTGACACCCCTGAAGTAGAGCATGGGTACCCAACCTTTTGATTTGCCAGAGCCACAGTGAATGAAGAGAAAATATATAATATAATGTATATAAATTGTATAATGTTAGAAGCTTATGATCTTGTGAGGTCACATTGCTAGTCATCCAGAGGCATAAGGCCCATCGGCTGCAGGTTGGATACAGCTGCTGTAGAAACTATTTAGCAAATGCTGAGAAAATAAGGCTGTGTAAAAAAAAATTGAACTTAAGAATGCTGCAAATATAACAAACCCTTCTCTGAACAGGTGTAAATGCATGTAGAAACAAAGCAGACCTTAATGAGGATCATGTGAGCAATATATAGGTTCTCATATAAATTTAGGTTTCCCTGTATGGTTTTTTATTATTTTATATTTGATGCATGGTAAAATATTTTAAATACTGGTCTTTGCCTATAAGTAATTTCATATATAGAATCAAAACAAATGGGGGGGGGAATCAGAAATGTTGAAAAGGCCCTTCAGACCATGAGGCCCTAAGGCAGACCTGGGCATTTAACAACCCCCAGTCCACAGTCTACCTTTTGGCTGTCCTTGTCTGGCCCACATCAATCGGAAATTAGATATTAAATATAAACAAGCCTGCCGCAGGGGCAGGAGAACCCAGGTTGACTCCATCTTTGCACTGTGCATTCCTTCAGTTGGCTGGTGGCAGCAGAAAAGTGAGAAGTGTTTTTCTATGCCTGCATAGTGCTCACACCTTGCAGCCTGAGAAGGGGCAGTGGTCATCTTGTGAGGGGACCTGGGCTTTATCTCAATCAAAGCAGGAGCTTGTGCATGAGTAGATGGAGCAGAGTCAGGAGCTAGAGCCCATGCTCTACTTCAGTTTAGCCCTCCACAACATCCCAATTCATTGTGACCCCTTGGAAAAATTACCGTATTTTTCACACTATAAGACGCACTTTTCCTCCCAAAAAAGTGGGTGGAAATGTCTATGTTTTATAGAGTGAATATTGCAGTGGGAGGGAGGGGGGCTGGTGCAGCGGCAGCGTTCGCTGCTGCCTGTCACCCCTGCTGCCATTCACTGCCGCCAGGGATCGCTGGAGCCTTTGCTCAGTGGTTGGATCAGCCTCCCGGAATACACCCAATCAGCCTTCTAGGCTGCAGTGGCAATCCCCATCATCTAGAACAGCTGATCAGCAGTATTCTGGGAGGCCGATTCAACCGCCAATCAGCTGCTTGGCAGCGAAGGCTCCAGTGTTCCCTAGTGACGGTGGCAGCTCAGCTCAGTTGACTGGTGGTGGGCCCAACAGAGTGGAGCCCTGACAAGCTAAGTGCTGGGGCTGCGATAATGTACTGAAGCTGACCAGGCTGTTTGCTGTTTGCTGCAAGAACGCTAGCCAGATGAATACCGGATGGATGCTGGGAGGCAGATTTTTTTTTTCCTCCTCTAAAGCTAATGTGTGTCTTATGGTCCGGTGCGTCTTATAGTGCGAAAAATATGGTAATTGCTCATCCCTGGCCTAAGGTGTATCTTAATTTATATCTGGTTCTGTGGTTCAAACATTTAAAAGCCAACCATCAGGAAATTAAAACAAGTTAGTGCTAAAAGTTAGAATAAGATGAGAAATTTGTAGTCCTTCAAATTCCTGAATTACTTCAGATAATTACTTTTACCACTGGCCATTCTGCCTGGATCTGCCAGGAGCATTCAGCTGTGTATGAAATGGAAAATATGTTTTGTCTCATTCTGGATATGTCTGATGTACCATTTCAGATTAGCCAGTGTAAGAGAAGCAGAACCCAGAATATTTTGGCTATTCCAGTTTCCAATAAAGCAAAAACCAGAGAAAATGAATGGTGTTACAGGAAGAGCAGATCAAAACTGTGTACTTCTCTCTTCTCCAGGTGTTCTCAACACAACCCTGACTTGTATTTAAAACAAAACTAGAAACATTTCTGAACCAGATGTTTGATACAACACAGGGAAAACTTCCACCTATACAACTCTTGTTTTGGAAGAACAAGAAACAGCTCAATAGAGAAGATCTATATGACCACAACAAATATATCATTACTATGTAAATATCCTTTTTTAAGTGACAGATATCAAAATGTATTATCAGAGTTGTTTCAGTTTAGTATGCCTTATACAGATATCCAGCATCAATTTGTACATAAGGCAGTAGAGACATACACACAATATATAAACACATACTGTTTTCAAGAACAACTTCTGTTTTTCTTTTAGCAAACACTGAGTAGCATGAAGAGGTCTGGAGTTATTTTTTTCATTTTGTGCTGGTGGCAAAAGGATGCTTTGAATTTGGGGTGAAATGATGTTGGCCAGCACAACATACCTTCCTCATCAGGCAACCTTAACAAATGGAATCAGCTAGCTTTATATAGCAATTAGTTTAGATACAATTAATGAAATGTGGATTAGTAATAGCTGAATTGTATTACTGTAAGCCTTGAAACACAGCAGGAAGAAAATTCTGGACAGGTTTATTTGTAGACAGAGCTACCAGAGCACTCCTAATCAGACCTAATTTACTGAGTTTTGGCAATCTTATTATATCATGATGTATCAGGTGAAAGATCACTGGAAATCCTGAGGAAAAAGTGCAGATTATTAATATACTTCAGTTCCAGACCTCTACTGATGTCTATCTCTAGAGTTGTTCTGGAATTGGCAGCTTCTAAAAATAATACAACACCATCATTGAATGATAGGATTCAAAGGAGGTTCTAGTCCAACTGAATGTCCAGTACAGCAATCCTCATACAGGTAGTCCTTGCTTAATTATGCTAATTAAGACCAGAAACTCATTAAATAATGTGGCCATTAATAAAAAAAACCCACATAACCAACTACCTAACAGTGGCAATTTCAACAGCCCTATTTGCCCTGTGCAATATTTTCTTGAAGTATTATCCTCATTGTTACCTAAATTTCCAGTGGAAATCTGCATAAAACAAAACAAAAAGGAATCTTTTATATGAAATAGTAATAGATAGTAGAGTTCTTGCAATAAGAGCAGAATATGGTTAATTGGAAAACAGGTGCCTATCATTGAAAAACTCAAACTGATATCTTGAAAATATATACAAAGAAGACAGACCAGGAAACTAAATACGAGATTTACATCAAAAAGGTAATCCTCAATTTACCACCACAATTGAGCCTAAAATTTTTGTTGCTAAGCAAAACAGTTAAGTGAGTTGTACCCCATTTTATGACCTTTTTTGCCACAACTGGTAAGTGAACCACTGCAGTTGTTAAGTGAATCATCTGATGTGAATCTGACTTCCCCATTGACTTTGCTTGTCGGAAGCCAGCTGGGAAGGTTACAAATGATCCCGGGACACTGCAACTGTCATAAATACATGCCAGTTGCCAAGCATCCAAATTTTGATCACATGGCCATCGAAATGCTACAATGGTCGTAAGTGTGAAAACAGCTTATAAGTCACTTTTTTCAGTGCTGTTGTAACTTTGAACAGTTACTAAACAAATGGTTGTAAGTTGAGGACTACTTGTACATTTATTTCAATGCTGACATGTGAATGGCAAGAGACATTTAACTTTGGAGCTTAAAATTCTTTCGCCTTGTCAGAATGGAGAAGTTATTTTGTTTATTCTGCAGAATTTCTATGACATTACTGGACTCATGGAACTGAATTTATTTGCAACTAGGCAAATTCCCAAAATAGATATGTATACCTTGTGGAGAGCATTATCATCACAGAATCTGTTGCAGGGAAATTTATCTTTTGTGATACAGAAGTTGAAACAAATTTCTATGAAATAGAGGGGTAAATTTTTCAAAATATTCAGTATATTCAAGCTCTCAGGAAGAAGCCTGCTCTTCTACTCTATTTTTGCAATGAGAGATATTCAGCTAGTCGATGATCTTACAGATTGAAACATTTGTGAGGGCACTTGGCAATTCAGTGTAAGATGAGAAAGGTCATATCTGAATTAAGCCAGAGAGTAAACAAACCTTGGTGAATCTTGGTCATTCTTCCCTTCCCTTGCTTAGTCATGAAGAATTGTCCAAAAGCTTCTGCTTTTGAAACTGTATGCTTCAAAATAAAATCAAACCTGATTTGGTTCAGATGGTATGACAATCAAGTTAGAAATAAAAGCTGAAGTATTTCTCCAGCTGTACAGAAATATGTCTAACAGTGGCTGCTGTAGCTCAGTCAGAACATACACAGCTTCAGTTTAGCATGATATTCAAATATTTATAGTGAAGTGAACTCAAATTATTTCCCCATTTCACTTACCAGTCATAGAAGCCAGATGAAGCAATATTTTATGCAGTTATTAAATTAACAGGGTAATGAGTCAAGAGATTTGACAATATAAAATAAGTATTGATTGGACAAACTAAAAAAAAACCAGTATGTTATCTACACACATACACACACATATTCCACCCTTGAAACAGGAATTTCTCTTGATTAACAAGGAATACCCAATAGAATACCCATTAGAATACCCTACTAGGGCTGCACTTATTTTAGTTTGTCTGTTAACAGTAGTGTTGAACAGTAGTAGGTGGATCAAATGAGGCTACTCCTATTTGTCAGTTGGAAAAATGTTTTGTTTTTCAAGCATTTAACTGCTACAAAAGAAAATAATTAGTCTCAGCAAGTTCTGACATTTGGAAATAGCAGCAATTCTCATTATAAGGAAATGTCTAGGCAGATTCTAATATACATCCTGTGATATTAGCTACTTAATAGTGATATGCTTGCTATTATTAAATATCATTCTTGGAGGCCTATTAATCTGTTACAGCCACCAGAACCGCACATAAACAATCAGCATAATAAAAAACACAGCAATAGCAGCAAGCTTGGCATAGGTGGAACGCATGTTCAGATATTTCGCATCCTGGCGGTATTTCTTGGACAAACTGGACAGATTATTTGCCTTGGAATCCAATGCTGTTTGAAGAAAAGATAGCATGCAAACAAAAATATTATATTCATGAAATGTCAACATTATTTATAAGACAGTAGACCTAGTTCCAACCTCTATCCAAGTGTTTAAGACTGACTTTAGTCTGACATATATGATTCAATCTTTCTCACTGAAAAGCTTGCTGGATGTTATAGGTTTCCCTCAAACACGTAGGAAGTTTTGTCTTTGGTAATCAACATTTTTTATTTAGATTAGGGACAATGAATTAAAATTATTGTAAGCCACAAAAGAGAATTTCATGGAAGTCAAATTATTTCATTTCCCCTAGCAGTTATAAAACCTTTTGAAAAAGTTCTATGGAAGGCTAGCGAACTTTCATAAACAATGGGATGAGGCACTGAGTTTGCAGAAAGGAAGTTTCTTATTCCCTCTTCTCCCCATCAACTACCCCCAATCTTTACAAGAAGTTTTTTGGGATCACAGGTAGTGCAGGGAGAATGAAAGAGAATGAAAAAAGTGTATTAAATTAATTTAGAACAACATATAAAATTACAACATATAAAATTTATGCAGCCATTTCACAAATAAGTGACTCTTATAATAAGACTATAAGATTAAAAATGTTTTTGTGTGTGTTCATTGAAAAATATTCAAAAATATTTTTTTTAGAAATACAAGTGCATTTTGATGTAATTTGGTAAATTGTCTAAGAAACTGAGACTTTCTCCAGCAAAATATTTAATTCAGAAGCTGCTACCATAAACATCTTTGGATTATGGTATACAGTAGTTTTTATCTGCATAAACTATTAGTTTTGTATTCCAAAGTGTGTTTATCAATTCTTATTCCATATACAGTGGATATAAAACAAATCTGTTAAAATGCCATGTTTTTGAGATATAAAAAAAATCAGACTAAGATCAATCACTTCAGAATATTTTCCTCCTTTAATATTTAAGCTATACGATTCAATTGAAAAGCAAACTGAAAATCTTTTAGGTGGAAAAAATAACAATAAAAATGTGCCATAACATTGTTGCATAAGTGCGCACACCCTTAAACTAATACTTTGTTAAAACACTTTTTGATTTTATGACTACATTCAGTCTTTTATGACTGCATTCAGGGGTAAAAGCCTATCAGTATGGCACATCTTGCTTTGGGAAACTATGTCCTCTCTTCCCTGCAAAAGCATTTGAAATCTGTCAGATTGCAAGGGCATCTCCTGTGTACAACCAAGTAACCCCACTGTCAACTGCCCCATTGGTAAATGCAGCAAAAGAAACTCCTGGAACATTGTTTTTCCAAGAGTATAACTTTATTGGCAATTCCACAATAGGCACAGAAGCAGCAAAGCCAGTTCTGAAGTTTTTGTATGAAAAACAACATAGTTAAAATCCATTTTGTTCCCCTGGGTCACCCGCAGTCCATAGTCCACCAATCAATTACACTCATTTTGTTTTGGGAACAGTCTGCACGCCTCACAGTGTTCGACCTTGGTGTTGGAATTCTCAGGTTACAGATAGTGCACCTGCATTCTCCAATTCTCTCCCAAACCACTCGTACATTCCAATCACTCCCCTCCCCCCTCCCTGGTTTCCATTGCCTAGTTGCAAGCAGGGATGCATAGTGAGTCAGCCATGACACCCACAGATTTTCCATTGGATTCAGGTTCGGGCTCTAGATAGGCCAGTCCAAAACTTCTGTCACCTTCTGGTGAAGACATTCTTTTGTTTGGAGGTCTGCTTTGGGTCATCATGCTGAAAGGTTACATTCATGTTCAGCATTTTAGCAGAGGCATAAAAGTTTTGTGCCAAAATTGACTGATATTTGGAACTGTTCATATTTCCCTCCACATTGACTGAAGCTCCAATTCTAGCTGAAGAAAAGCAGTCCCAAGGCATAATGCTGCCGCCACCACTGTGCTTCACTGTGGGTACAGTGTACTTTTGGTGATGTGCCTTGCACCACACCATTTTGAAGTATGGCCAGAAAGTACAACCTTGCGCTCATCTTCCCAGTATGACATGCTTTTGTCATACTTTATATAGGTTTTTGCAAACTGGCTTGGATGTTTTTCTTTGTTAAGAAAAGGCTTCCGTCTTGCCACCGTATCCCACAGCCCAGACATATGAAGAATATGAGAGACTGTTGTCACCTGTAGTACACAACCAGCACTTGCCAGAAATTCCTGCAGCTCCTTTAATGTTGCTGCATGCGCCACTTGACAGCCTATCAATTCTTGGTAATGTCATTTTTGTACCATATTTTCTCTACTTATTGATGACTGTCTTCACTGTGTTCCATGGTATATCCAATACCTTGGAAATATTTTGTACTCCTCTCCTGACTATTTCCAACAATGAGATCCCCTTGATGCCTTTTAAGCTCTTTTCTTTGCAGATCATGGCTTTTGCTGTAAGAGGCGACTGAGTAAATGTCAAAAAAATCCTACAACAGCTGAACTTTATATGTGCTTGATCAGTCACTTTGAAGGCAGATGTGTACTATTTAATGTCAGTCTGAATGTTATTGGTTAATTCTGAACATAGCCACATCCCCACTTATAAAGAGGGTGTGCACTATTATGCATGTTATTGTAAGTTTTTTATTGTTCTTTTTCTCCAAGAGATTTCAGTTTGACTTTTTATATCCACTAGTTTCTACTTAGAAAGACTATGTATGGTGTGAAATAATTTTTATTTACCTGAAATATTAGCTTTTATATTCAAAAGTTTATTTAATAATTAATTCTTATTCTATATAATTTCTATTGAAAAAGCCCATATTTTTAAGTAGGGACTTTTGCACAAAGGGAAAAATTACCAGTACCTACTTGCTGTTTATCAATTACAAAGAGAACATTACCGTAGTTGCTTAATAACATTGCTACCTAACTGCATCACTTCTGGTCCTGTGTCATAATCTTCATTAAAGGAAAACTAGTATTACAGAAAAAACAAATGGGAAATCACTCTGAGAGGCAGGCAGTAACAATCTTGAATTATGTAACACTGCTTCTCCTAAATTATGCAAATATTGTGATGTTGGCAAAATTAAATTGCATGAGCACATAATAGCTGCCTTTAAAAAGTGGAGGAATCAAGATCATAGGTGTCAAACCCGCGGCATCACATTGCCATCACATGATGAATCACAACATTTTTTCCCTCTGCGGAGCTGGGGTGGGCATGGCCTGCGCATGACACATCCAGCCCATGTGCCGCCAGTTTGACACCCCTGATCAAGATCTTTAGGTACAGAGATGAAGAAAAGTGTTGTTCCACCAAATCAGGCAATGAGTGTGTAGATTGGGGGGGGGGGGGGGGGGAAGTGTTAGGAATTCCTTCAAATCAGAGTTGAATCATGATGACTGCCTAAACAAGCCCTTGCAATTTTCTTGGCAAGATTTCAGTGACTTCTTCCTAGGGCTGAGCAACTGTGACTTGCCCAAAGGTCACCAGCTGCCTTTGTGACTAAGGTAGAAATAGAGCTCATACTCTCCCAGATTCTAGCCTGGTATCTTAATACCTACCTAGTTTTCAGTACAATACAGTAGGATACCAGACTAAACATTGGATTCATTACTGAAAGTTTGGAACAGAAATGTTATCAGCCAACTGCAACAAAATTCATAATTAACCTACCGTGCTTCCCTAAAAATAAGACCCTATCTTATATTTTTTTGAACCCTGAAATAAGCGCTTGGCCTTATTGCCATGCGCTCAAAAGCCCAATTGGGCTTATTATCAGGGGATGTCTTATTTTGGGGAAAACAGGGTATTATTGAGGCACATGTTCTGCCTTCCCATGCTTTATCAGCCTATGTAAAGTAAGAAGACTTTTGTTCTAAATATTTTATAATTTAAAATTGACACTGGAGAGAATATCACACCAGTTGATTGATGCAAGTAACATTAAGCATAAATGATCAAAAGAAATTACATGTATTTAGAATAATAAAGAGTAGAAATAGTGTAGAATCACAGGGCTGGAAGGTACCTTGATGGTCTTCTAGTCCACCCCTACCCAAGGGAACAGACCTAATTACATCCCAAACAAATGACTATCCAATCTTTTCTTGAAGACCTCTAGCGATAGAATAGCCACAACTCCAGGAAGTAAACTATAAACTGCTTTATTAGGGTGATCATAAAAATTTAATAGATAAGCTTTTCCATTGCCTAATATTTCTTATTGTCAGGAAATTTATCCTTAGTTTCAGGTTGGATCTCTCTTTAACAAGCTTCCATCCATTACTTCCTGCCCTGCCCTCAGGTGCTTTGGAGAATGTCAAACCCCATATCTCTGAGATTGCTCAAGCACTGAAAAACAACTATAATGTCACCTCTAATCTTATTCTTAATTAGGCTATAGACATACCTAGTTCCCTTAACTGTTCCTTGCATGAGTTAACCTCCAGTCCCCTAATCATCTTTGTTATTCTTCCCTGCACTTTTTCTATGGCTTCAGCATCTTTTTTTGTATTGTGACGACCAGAATTGGATGCGGTATTTCAAGTGTGGCCTCATGAGTTCAGTATAGAGCTGTACAATCATTTCTTGTGATAGTAATACTAACCTTCTATTGATGCAGCCCAGAACTGCATTGACTTTTTTAGCAGCTGCTACACTTCTGGTTCATATTTAAGTAATGGTCCACTAGGACATCACAATCCCTCTTGCAGTTACTATTGTTGAGCCAGTTACCACTATAGCTGTGCACTTGCTTTTTCCTACCTAAATGCAGGATCTTGCTTTTCTCTCCACTGAATTGCATTTTGTTGGCTAGGGCCAACAATGCTCAAATCTGCTCCTTTTGAATCATGAGTCTGCCTCTCAAGCTGTTGGCAATTCCCCCCCCCCCCATTTTGGTTTTATCCTTCTGTTCCCTCCTCTAGATAAATACTGATATGGTGAAAAGCAATAGGCCCAATAACAGAATCTTGAGGTACCCCACTGCATGCTTCCCTCCATGTGGATGTAGTTCCATTAAGGACTACACTTTGGATGCAATTGGTCACCCAACTGCAAATCCATCTGTTGGTACCACTATTCTACATGATGGTAGGAATCTACACTTTCAGAATTATTTCTAGTTTGAGAAAGATTTTTAACCAAATTAACTCTGGTGGACCTTTCCTCATGAAGGTTTTCCTCAGACTCAGAAATAATGGTTAGGAAAAAAACAAAAATTGTTTGCTCTCTGTTATGTAAGCAGAAACTTTTTCCCCTATGCCAATTATTTGTCCATAAGTCAAATAAAATGATAGAACACAGCAATAACAGACACCTGCTGCTCTTTCTAGTTTCATTCTTCAGCTAACATCAGCTTCCAGTTAGACAAGATAATTGTTTAATTACTTAATCACTGACTAAAACAGATAGGTAGTGAACAAGTAGAAGAAGGGCATGAACAGGTAAGATGAGCGGATTTCTATTAGGAAATATATATATTCTTAATTTTCTTATTGTCTTCTCTAGCAAAAAAGAAAGGTGCAAGGAGGGTAATTAGAAAGCGCAGCAGAATAAGTTATTTATTTATTTAATTTATTTAATTTTTAATTTTAATTTTAAGTTACATAATTTTAGTTGCCAAAGAATAAACTATTCCACCACAGACAAAAGAATAATGCTAAGGAAAGAATGAAAGCCACCAGAGGGCCTGAAATGTCTTAACAGATGGACACTGAGAATTAGGCAGCAGGGCAGCATCTTTTCCTGTTTTCTGCGGTCTGATTATGGGCTTTGCCATGTTGTTGACTATTTCCAATCACCCAGTGGTTCCTACCTGCCTTGGCTTGCTTTTTATTTCTCTCAAAAAAAATTGACAAGGTACAACATTTCTCAAACTGTTTCAAGCTGGAATGAACAAATGGATGAATTAAAAAATACTATTCAATAAGCAGTGCTATTGATGTATACTAATTATACATTGCCCTGATTACTCAGCATGAAGTGGTGGCATTGAAACTCAAGATTACAAATGATTTAAAACTTCTCACAAAAAATTATAATTTTCTTTTTTGAACAGAGAATTGGCCATATCTTATCTTATACAATTTATCAAATTCAAAAAAAAAAAAAAAGATGTGGGTGAATGTGGGGGGGGGAACCAATAAAACTTGATTTAAAAAAAAATAAAAATTATAATTTTCCCCATCTGCTGGTTTGTTGATTTTTACAAAATAGAACATAAATTTGCATGCTATGTACATGCAAAGTACATGCTATTAAAATACAAACAAAAATTTTAAAAGTCTTCATATGGTATCCAAAACAGCAGAGTAATTGCACATTCCATATTTGTTTTTCTCAGTATGAATCTTTTGTTGCCCCTTGAGGATTAGAATGGTCCTTCATTATCTACAGGAAGTATTTTATGCAAAGCAGTTTGCCAGTTTTATTCTGCAATCATATATTTAAACGTCTCCCAAAATGGGCAATATTTTGCAAACTGTGTTCTGTGAAACCCTAGAGCCGTGATGGTGAACCTATGGCACGCATGTCAAAGGTAGCACATGTAGCCATATCGGTGGGCACACGAGCTCAGCTCCGGTGTGCATGAGCACACTGGCCAGCTGATTTTCAGGCCTTCTGGGCCCACCAGAAGTAGGTAAACAGGCCGTTTCCTGCCTCTGGAGGGCCTCTGGGGGGTGGGGAGGCTGTTTTCACCCTCCCCAGATTCCTAGAAAGGCTCTGGAGGCTGGGGAGAGCAAAAAACGGGCCTACCGTGCCATCGTGTGCCAGGAGTGAGGGGAGCGAGGGGGGGGTCACGCACACGTGGGGGCAGGGCACATAGAATTATGGGTGTGGGCACACACATGTGACCCCTCCCCCCCGCTCCTGGCATGCAATGGCAAAAAGATTAGCCATCTCTGACCTAGAGTTACACGATAGTATGATGGGTTAGGATGATGGGATCTATAATAGCAAGGTAGAGCACAAAAAAAGTTCACAGAACAAGATCTATAGCCTGAAAAAAATTGAAAACATCTGGTTTATGGATCCCTGTACCTGAAAGGGTTTCACCTCGTTGTAAGACTTCTTCAATGTTGGCTACCATGATTCTTTGTACATCTTGTAATTCTGTATTAATAGACCCAAGATTTCTTCTTGCCCGGCTATCTATATACAGCTTCTTGGTTTTCTGAATATAAGTATCTGGAATAAAAAGTAATTGTTCATGTAAGAGTATTCTCTTTCCAAATTCTAAATCAATTTGTATTCTCAAATCATGCCGTACAGAGAAGTTATTGCAAGGAATGGAAAAAAGAGCAGGTGGAGGAGAAAGATAATTAACTGCTCTAGGAAAAAGTATAATGAACCCCTTGTCTGTTAATTTCCCTAGCAGGGTTCCGTAACTATACTGATAGCAAATATAGTCATTAACCACAATCTGATTATATCCTTGTTATCCTATATTCAATCCTATATTCAACCTATCTCTTGTTTAGTAAAATAAAATTTCTCAAGTACAGATAGTCCTTGTTTAATGAACACTCATACAGTAACTGAAGTTATGATAGCACTGAATGAGGAGACTTATGACCAGTCCTTGTCATAACAGCGGTCACATGATCATGATTCAGATATTCAGCAACTAGCTCAGTTATGATAGCTGCAGCATTCTGCAGTTACATGATCACCATTTGTACCCTTTGCTGTCAGTTTCCAACAAGCAAAGTCAATGAGGAAGCCATCAGGTCACAAATAGTGATCATGTGACATCATTCTTAACAGTCATGCAGGATTCGCATAACAATGGCGATCTGAACTGTCACAACTGCTGCCATAAGTCATGTGACAATATGTGACATTGCTCATTATAACCACACTGCTTAACAAGAGTTGCTGCAGTTTCAATTACTGTTAAGTGAGGACTAGCGATACTGCAATTAAATGTAGTCTAATAAGGCAAAACATATAGATGACATAGGAAATGGCCCTGAAGGATAGGAGGAAGAACTGCTATCAAGGCAACAATCAGGCAAGCAGGACCCGAGTCCCTTCCAAGAAATTAGTTTGAGTATATGTCTCAGATCCCTCCCTAGCTTACACCAATAAAAGTGAAGGAGGGGAGAAGCACATTTAGAACTGCAAGATTGCATTACTATAACTATTATTATAAAAGAAGTTCTAACTCATATAGCATTGGTTTCTTAGTTTGGTCTGACAGAACAATATAAGATGTGGAATATTTTAAATAATATTCACTGTTTATTGTGATATGTTATTCTATCCCTTTGAATCTTTTCATGTATATGCCATACAATTTTTTATCGCATCAGTTGAAGGAGAAATCAGAGAATTATTTAGATATGCAATTCAGAATGCTTTAGTAACCTGCTAAAAGAAAGAAGTGGAATGAGTTGATGAGGAAGGGGCATTAAGATTACCAAAGTGTTGACCCTGGATTATCCTTAAATCATTAATCTCAAGAAATAAATCTCACCAAATTCAATGAAAGAATAAGGTCTGGACACCGTTGGCACCTTTTTTCCATGTTGTTCATCAAATTCTGAGTGCAAATCTTCCAGATATGCAAACGCCATTTTTTTGGGGAAAGCAGCTTCACATAGTATCAGATAACAAACTCCTTTTTCAATAATGTAACTGTAAAGGAAGATATAAGCCAATTGTTAGCCTGGACGAAAAATGAACCCCTATCAATAGTCCAGTGGCCATATTGATTTCAGTGGCCATATTGCAAACAACATTCCAATCTATATTACAAGACACAAATTATATTTAGCCTTAAATTATACTTATTTCAGAGTTCTACTGCATTTTAGACAAGGATAATGGTGAGGAAAGCTCACACCTATGCTTCATCATGCGTGCCATCTTTAACTTTTTTGTTTTATTGATTTTATTCAATGGTCTAACCTTGAAGAGCATTTGGAAGCTTCAACTAGTGTAGAATGTGTCAGCACAGAGTGTCTTTGGGGCCCATATTACATCACTGTTCCATGAGCTGCACTGGTTGCTGGTTTGCTTTTGGATGCATTTCAAAGTGTTGGTTATTACCTATAAAGTCCTGCATAGCATGGGTCCAGGTTTCTTGAGAACCATCTCACTCCTATGAGACAGGTCTGCCCCACCCATGCTGGCAGAGGAGGCATGCTGCCCACTCCACCCATGTTGTTGATCAAGAAATTCCAGCTGGCAGGGTCCAGGAAAAGAGCCTTCTTGACTGTGGCCCTGGTCTTTGGGAACATCTTGTCCCCTGAGGGGAGATTGGTTTCCACCCTCCTGATTTTCTGAAAGAGCTTGAAGATCTGTCTCTGTCAGTTGGCTTGTAGGAATATCACACTAGAAGTGGTTGATCAAATAATAGTAGCTCCCACTTCTCCCCCTTATGTTCTGTTCCTTTCCTCCCCATCCTTTAGTTTTAGTTATAATCTATATATATTGTGTACACACACACACATATATATATAAGAATTTTTTTGAATGTTGTAAGCTGCCCAACATCATCTTGCAGCGAGATGGAGGGCAAACAAATTTAATATTAAAAATATTAAATATTATTGTAATTTATTCATTTGATTATCAGTGACCCAGAGTTGTTGAGTCAGGTAGCATCGTGTTTAATAAATTATTACATCTTTAACTTTACTCTTGATGTTCTCCTTCTATACCTCAGCAAAAAAATGTAAAATATTTTGTAATATATTTCTAAATTGGCTACAATTTTTAAAATGCAGAGAAAGAAGTGGAGAACAATTTATCTCAAATTTGATAAGATGCAGCACAAAGTCCACTTAAAAGCTTACAGTATGGTGATGTAAGCAGCTAAAGATTACACGTTTATAATCAAAGAAACGTACAATGCTTCAGCCTAGAAACATAGAAAGGCAAAGTCAGAAAAGGCTACCAAGAGAGCCAAACCCAGCAAGGTTTTCTTTAAATATGTCAATAGCAAGAAGATGACAAATGGGTGGTGGGCTCACTGCCTATTTCAGATGGAGACATTTTTAATAAATTGCAATGAAAAAAGCAAATGAACTCAACTCCTACTTTGTTACTATTTTTATACCCAAAGGAAATTGTTATTTCAGTAGCACAGATTGCAAAAGAAATATGGGGAGAAAAAATGTAGGAAACTAATATAATATGGGGAATTCATGACTTGGAAATGCTACCTCTGAAAATGACTTAAACTCATTGACAAGCTGAACATGACTCAGCAGTGTAAACATAGCAGATAGAAAGGCTAATGTAATTTCTGGCTGCCTTAGAAGCAACATTGTCTCAAAGAAATACCTTCTTTCTCTCTACTCGGCTCTAGTGGATTTTTCTGAAGTAGTGTGTATGATTCTGGGCATCACATTTCTAAAAGGATATTGACAAGTTACAATGGATTCAGAGGACAACATTATGTGATAGGCTGATGGAACTTAGGATGTTCAGAAAAGAAGACTTAGATGAGACATGATAAGCATGATCAGGTACATAAAGGAAAACTACTGGAAAAATGGGCAAGAACTATTTTCCTAAAAACAAACTAAGAATAAAGAAAATGAATTATAGTTGCCTGAATTTTATTTAGGAGAGCTAAACTGGTGTAGAGTTAAGGCTAGAAACTGGGACTCTATGAGTTCTAGTCCTGCTTTAGCACAAAGCCAGTTGGGTAACCTTGGCGTAATACTTTCACCCAGCAAACCAATTATGAAAACCTTGAAAGGAAACTGCAGGGACTTGTTCAGGCAGTCACCAGCGAATCAGACAGAATTGAACAAAATAAAAATAAGTCATTTAAACCCAAGGAAATATTTCCTAATGGAAATCTATACAAAAATGGAATGTTCTACTATAAAGTTGTGGGTTTTACAATCCCTTTTTAAGAGCAACGATTTTAAGATTTTTAAGAAAAACTGTGGATATATGATTTAGTAGGTTTTTCTGTACATTGCAGAGGATTGGACTAAATGATTCTTACAATCCATTCCAGGCCTAGAATTCCATGATTCTATGAACCTGTTGAGTTCTTCCAAACTGCGGAACTGACTCACATCCCTGAATGCTCCTTCAAAAATCCCAGACCCTCTGAGTCTTACTATAATGCTTTTAATTAATTTCTTAGAGATAACAATTAGGCCTTTCTAAATCTCATTTGGAGGGAAGAGTGCCCAATAATTCCTACATAGTTACTTGGATCAATATTTATTTGTAATAACAGGATATTGTCAAGCATTATGTCCCATTATTAGCTTGATACAAGCTAATGGGACATTATTAGTTTGCTATTTATACTTACTGAAAAGTCATTGGTCCAGCTTCTAAGGTGCATCTGGTAGGAGACTGTTCATTGAGCTTCCGAAACAATTGCTTGGCCTGGCTCTGATACTGCTGCAAATCTCTCCCCGACTATAATAAAAAAAACAATTCCCCCCCCAGAAAAATCTCCAACATGCTTCAACAAATTTAGTCCAATTATAGGGAATGATTAGAAAACAATCAGATCAAAACTTATATATTATAGCATTTTAAAACAAAAATGTGTGGGCTATTGTCCACTTTATTAAATCAACTACGTATATATCTGCTAATTCCTGTTCTCCAGTAGTATTCTTTAAGCAGGTTAAATAAAGAGAAAATCCCTAACTGTATGATCCATCTTCTTCTAAGTGGGAGTGGGGTAGAATGAACTCAATTTAAATTGGGACTCATTATCTAATGCTAAACATTAGAAGACTCCAAGGAGCTTAATTTTGCTATACACTTCAGTAACTATACTAGCAAAACTCACATGTTATTTCTAGGCTAGACAGTCTAACAAGCATTTCGTAGTAAAGAAAAATTAACCTTGTGTAACCAAATTGTTTTACTGCTAAATATCTTTCAATTTCAATGCTAGCATTTAGCGAGTGTACTTTAAATGCATAGCCCGCATTGTATATATTACTTAATCAGAAATTAAATCCTGAGTAGAAAGGAAGGGAAAAAACCGCACAGTATCTCACACTCACCTGTTCATCCTCCTGCATAGAAGCCGCTAAAGGAAGCCCATCAGCCACCCGTGCAATCATCGTTAGAAGCACCATCTTCTTGGACGATCAATACCTACGGGTTCAGAATACTACCCGCTCAAGACTAACTATACTGAGCTGGCCGGAAGCTGCAAAACCAAGTTCCGGATCCCTAATAAGAACTCTCTCGCCTGTTTCCTGTGCAATCATATTGCCGGTCGAGAGCGGAGGTCCCCAACTTTTTGGTTCCGGTAAAAATGACAAACATTTTTTTTGTTCCTCTCAGAAGAAGGGAGGAGTGGGTCTTCAACAGCTCCAGCAAGGATCTTAAGCTAGAAGGCCTAAGTATCATTCGTTTTGGCGATGGCAGTTCCACAACACAGTTACAGAGTAGTGCGGGCGTTCTAAGGACCTCCCCACTTAGAGGGGGACATCGAGCAATATGCTACCGATGCGCCAATGAACGACAAAGAAGCATAATTTGCACACTGTAGACGTGACAATTGCATAATAATATTTTACATGCAAGCCTTTTGTGAGCAACAGCTGTAAGAAGGAGTTTTAACTCACTCTGCTACTTCTAGGGCAGAATTTTTTAAAACATGATTGCTGTTTGCTATCAGGAGAAGCTGCTATGAACGTGAATAAAGCCAATGCAGTCATAGGCTGCGTCAACAGAGACGATAGTATCAAGATTAGGTGAAGTGTTAATATTGTTTTATACTGCATTGGTTAAGACTACACTTGTAATACTGCGTCCAATTTTGGCTACCACAATACAAAAAAGCTGTAGGGGTTTAGGGTGTTTAGACATGGATCCTTGGCTGGGCCTCCTTTGCCCATAGCCAGCCGCCTCAGCCCATTTACAGCCAGCTTTCCTCCTCCACTGCCCCCCCCCCCAGCCATTCTCCACAGCCAATGGGCCCCTGGCCCTTCGTCTCTGCCCATTCGGCCAAACACCGTTTGACCTGGGCTTTTGGCTGCACAGGACAAATAGCCACCAGCCAATTGGGTGACAGGCAGAAGCAATGGTGCTGCGGGGGCAGCATGCGATGCAAGATTTTTTTTAAAAAGTACTGCAGCTGCTTTGTAAATTTTGGGGCCTTGCAGATCTGTCACCAGGGTGGAGGGAGGGGGAGTGGTAGCAGGAGTAGCAGCCGTGGGTACTTTTTAAAAAAATCTTGCATTGTATGCTGCCCCCGCAGCACTATTGCTTCTGTCTGCCATGAAATTGGCTGGCAGCTACTTGGCCCGTGCAGGCAAAGGCCCAGGTCAAATGGTGTTTGTGCGAATGGGCAGGGACAAAGGGCCGGGGCAGAGGGCCAGGGGAGGAGGAAAGCTGACTGTAAATGGGCTGAGGCAGGTGGCTGAAGGCAAAGGAGATGCGGCCAAGAGTCCGTGTTTTTAATTTAATTTAATTTAATTTCCAATTTATATACCGCCCTTCTCCCTGAGGACTCAGGGCGGTGTACAGCCAAGATAAAAAACATAGAATACAAATATTCAAACATTTAAAAATATATATAAATTTTGGCCCGAAAGTTAAAAAATCACAGACTAGTTAAAAGAATTTAAAAATTTCTTAAGCCAACCCGGTTTGCTGGAAAAGATGGGTTTTCAGGGAACGACGGAAGGCATTGAGGTCATGGATTCTCCTTATCTCCGGGGGCAACTGATTCCAGAGGGTGGGAGCCCCCACAGAGAAGGCCCTCCCCCTGGGGGCCACCAGCCTACATTGTTTGGCTGATGGCACCCTGAGGAGGCCCTCTCTATGGGAGCGCATGGGTCGATGGGAGGTCGTCGGTAGCAGCAGGTGGTCTCGCAGATAGCTAGGCCCTATGCCATGGAGCGCTTTAAAGGTGATAACCAACACCTTGAAGCACACCCGGAAGACCACCGGGAGCCAGTGCAGCTCGCGCAGGAGCGGTGTTACATGGGAGCGCCATGTTGCTCCCATCACTACCCGCGTTCTGGACCAGCTGGAGCCTCCAGGTGCTCTTCAAGGGGAGCCCCATGTAGAGAGCATTGCAGTAGTCAAGGCGAGAGGTGACGAGGGCGTGAGTGACTGTGCACAAGGAATCCCGTTCGAGAAAGGGCCGCAACTGGCGAATCAGGCGAACCTGATAAAAGGTCCCCCTGGTAACAGCCGTCAGATGTTCCTCCAAAGGCAGCTGCCTATCCAGGAGGACTCCCAGATTGCGAGCCCTTTCAGTGGGGGCCAAAGACTCGCCCTCAATAGTCAGTGATGGAGTCAACTGACTATATCGGGATGCCGGGAGCAACAGCCACTCAGTCTTGGAAGCGTTGAGCCTGAGCCTGTTCCTCCCCATCCACATCCGCACAGCCTCCAGGCACTGGGACATCACTTCAAGGGCATCATTGGGGTGGCCTGGGGTGGAGATGTACAGCTGGGTGTCATCAGCGTACTGATGGTATCTCACCCCAAAGCCATGGATGATCTCACCCAGCGGCTTCACATAAATGTTGAATAGAAGGGGCGAGAGGACCGATCCCTGCGGCACTCCACAGATGAGAGGCCTCGAGGTCGACCTCTGCCCCCCTGTCAACACAAACTGTGACCGGTCAGAGAGAAAGGAGGAGAACCACCGCAACACAGTGCCTCCCACCCCCAACTCTTCCAGCCGGTGCAGTATGATACCATGGTCGATGGTATCAAAAGCTGCTGAGAGATCTAATAGGACCAGAACAGAGGAATAACCCCTGTCCCGAGTCCTCCAGAGATCATCCACCAACGCGACCAATGCCGTTTCCGTGCTGTGCCCAGACCTGAAACCCGACTGGAACGGATCTAGATAGGATGTTTCCTCCAGGAATTGCGAAAACTGTTGCGTGACCACATTCTCAACAACCTTCGCAATGAAGTGAAGGTTGGAGACAGGACGATAGTTAGCCAATATTGCCGGATCCAGGGACGGCTTCTTGAGGAGAGGCCTCACCACCGCCTCTTTCAGGGCAGCGGGGAAGTGACCCTCACTCAACGAAGCATTAATGACGCCCTGGAGCCAGCCTCGTGTAACCTCCCAGGAAGCCAGTACCAACCAGGAGGGACATGGGTCCAGTAAACATGTGGCCGCACTACGTCTCCCCAAAATCCTGTCCACATCATTGGGAGTCACAGCATCAAACTCCTCCCAGATAACATTCTCAAGACTGTTCCTCGTCACCCTGCCCTGATCTACCCAGTCAGAGTCCAAATCCCCCCGGATCTGAGCGATTTTGTCATACAGGTATTGTCCGAAATCCTCCGCCCTGCCTTCTAAGGGATCCTCCCGCACTCCCAGATGGAGCAGGGAGCGGGTCACCCTAAACAGGGCAGCCGGACGATTCCCTGATGATGCAATAGAGGCGGAAAAGTAGTTAGACTTTGCCGTCTTTATCACCACTAGACACCTGGGGGGGTGTCTCTGGGTCTCCCTGGAGGTAACCCTTCCCCCAAGGGTCACATACTCTCCAGTCACCCCGAAATCAGATCTAAATCCACTGCTGAAGGGTCCTGTGCCATCTGTTTGGAAGTCTGTAGGCCCTTGGGAGCCGCCCCAACCTCAAGCGCCATCGCCACGGTCACCGTCACAGCCGCCGCAGTCCCCATCATCGCCATCGGCCCCCCCCCGGACGTCCCCAGCCGCCCCCTGCCTCCAAAGATCCACCTTGAGGCATCCAGGGGCGTGGGGAACCTCCGTAGGGGCCTCACAACGCCGCCATGATCGCCCGTGGCCGCCGGCGCCGGCGCCGCTCCCCTCAGAGCTGGGATGGTCCAGGGAGCCGACAAAGCTCCCAACGGGCTCCTCAGATGTTGCTTCGCCCGGGCAGGGGGTCATAGATGTTCGAAATGACCCCCCTGAGCCCCCCCCAAGCCAAGGCATCGCCCCCAAGAAGCCGAGACTCAGCGTCGGAGTGCCATCTTGGGCATGCGCAGAAGAAGATTGGAAAATTCTAGTCCATTCCAAGATGTTGTCCCATTCCAAGATGTTGAGACTCTAGAAATTGTGCAGAGAAAAGCAACAAAGATGATTAAGGGACTGAACGACAAACCATACAATGAATGATTTTTAACAGATTAACAGAACTGGAAGGAACTTTGTAGGTCTTCTAGTCCAACCCCCCTGCCCAAGCAGTACACCATTTCTGACAGATGGCAGTCCAGTCTATAATTGAAAGCTTCCAGTGATGAAACTCCCACAACTTCCGAAGGCAAGCTGTTCCATTGGTTGACTGCTCTCGTCAGAAAATTCCTCCTTATCTCTTAATCTCTCCTTGATCAATTTCCATGCATTATTCCTTGTCTGGCCTTCAGGTGCTTTGGAAAACAGATTGACCCCCTCCTCTCTGTGACAGCCCTTCAAATATTGAAACACTGCTTTCATGTCTCCCCTGGTCCTTCTCATCACTATACTAGCCATGCCAAGTACTTGCAACCATCCAGCCATGCTGGTTTCTTCTTGGGTTTCATGTTTTTCTTTTTCAGTGGTACTGTGCTGGACTGGGCTTTTATAATCATATTTTTCAGAGTTTCCCAAGCTTCAGTTGTTTTCCCCTTTAGAATTTTCATTCAAGAAATCTTTCCCAAGTTCTCTCTGAGTTTGTTAAAGTAATCTCTTTTAAAATTTAAGATTATTGTATCATTGTGTTCTATTGCTTCTGTTTGCATTATGTTGAATTCCAGTATGACATCGTCACTCTCACCCAAGTTTCCTGCAGTTTCAGCTCCCTCTATTACTTCTTTGTTCATGAGAATTAAGTCCAGTATGGCTGTCCCTCTAGTTCCCTCCTCTATCTTTTAGACAACAAAGTTGTCAACTAGGTTGGTCAGGAACCTATTCAATTTCTCATTTGATGCAGAATTAGTCTTCCAGTTGATGTCAGGGTAATTGAAGTCCCCCATAACTATTGTAGTGTGTTTCCTACATATATTTGCTAATTGGTTAGCAAAAAGTACGCCTATTTTTTCTGCTTGGTTGGTTGACCTGTAGTATACACCTATGGCAATGTCATTCTTTTTTTTTCTTTTATATTGATCCAGATGCATTGTACCACAGAATGTTTTCATTTTTGGTTTCATGTATTTCTGTAGCAATATAGTGGTCTTTTACATATAGTGTGCTCCACCTCCTCTTTTACTGGGTCTGGTTTTTTGAACAGTTTGTATCCTTCTATCAGTATGTTCCAGTCATGGGTTTCATCCGACCAAGTTTCAGTGATTCCAACTATATCATATCTACCGTCATGTATTAATAATTCAAGTTTACCCTTTTTGTTCCCCAAACTTTGTGTAATTGTATAAAAGCATTTGAGATCTTTATGTCTGGCTCTGGGTATGCTTCCTATGTGTCCTTTAACACCATCAAACATCCACATTTGCATATCCCAGGTCCTTGGGAAGGACTTGATTGGTGCATAA